TAGGGGAAGTCTGGTGAGAAGTATATGAACAGTTGGGACTGACTTTCAGTAGATATAGATCTATATTATGTAAAAATGTTAAAGTTTGTTCCTGCCTTATGGTCTGTTTGTAATCCTTCTCCCTGAACTTTCAGAGTATTTTCCCCCTAATCCTACACTGGGCTGCTTATTTGACAAAGTGAAAGGATTAGCAGGAAATAGAATTTGTTTCTTGATATTAATTGCTCTAATAATGGTGCTTCTTTGCATGTCTGCCTTCTTTAAAGTTTGCTCCTGCTCAAAGAGTGCTCTTCCTGCTATGTTGTGTTAAAGGGCTTTTAGCAAAGGAATGACACTGCTTGGTGATGGGGAGGATGTCATCCTTTGATCAGCAGCTTTTGTGCCTGCTGAACACCCTTGCTCTGATCTGAACAATGTCTGAAGCCCTCTGGATTCTTGATCTGTGTGGTTTGTTTGCTGTAGTTCTTGTCACAGTATTATGCAAAGCTTGCTAAAATGCTGATGCTTCTCTCTGCCCCCGTATTATTTTTCCTGTGTTATTTTTGTGACCTCTGGCTGAGGCATAGCCTCTGTATACCTCATATACCAATTTGCTGTTGTTTATATCAGAAATAGGATGCTCTAACTTGTTATATCCAACTATCTAGGTTATGAAAATATAAATTCAGCTAATACATCCTGGTTTTTTTGTTACTTTTTTGCCTTCTCTTCAGTGCCTTAGTATAGCTCAGACTGACCAAACCTGGAAACATTTGCCTATTCCTAGCAAATTTTAACCCTCACAACTAAGCACCAAAGTTCTTAATCCTGATGTCTCTACAGCTTGTATACATATACAGAGGGCAAGACTCACTACAAAACACCCCTTCATTGTTTTCCTTCGAAAGCAGCTGATGTTGCTAAGATAGCCAAGGTGTATCACTGGGCAAGTGGGAGCAACTGGCATTTTTTCTTACCTTCTTTGAGGGGGTTCTGTGGGACAGAAGTTCTTGCCACATGAGTCGTTGCATGCTATTTGAGGGCAGGCCCCAGATGTCTTCTCCAAGGTGCTGAATATTACTAGCATTAATTTTTTTAACCCCACAGTATATGCCACACTTTCATGATCATGAAGAAAATGTAAGATACCTTAGTTTTACCCTAAGATAAATTTAATGAGATAAGGGACAGTGTGGACCTCATGTAATTTATCTGCACTGAAGGGGTAAGTGGCGATCACCTTGAGATCTAGGTGGTATGAAAGCGGGTGTTTATTACTAATGACATATATTTGCATGTAAAATGTATTGCCAAGATTGATCAAAATACAGTATTGGCAGCCAGTGATAAGGCACTTTATCATGTGGGATTGTTTGCCCATCAGATTGCTGCTATATTCACCTCTTAGCCTTTGCAGACACAAGGACAAGGTAGTGAGTGCATACAACAGTCGATTTGCAGCATCACAAGCTGGGTTTGCTCTTATTTGCTAAAAATACAAGAAGGAAAATTTATAATTTTATGAGCATCTCAGACCAAGAATAAAAGCTCAAATTTTATTCTACCCTTTATATGACGTGTACTGCATTTGTTGTCTTTTGCCACAGCTGAGACACCCTGTGTTGCAAAGAATAGATGTTCTGCCTTTACCCTTAAATCATATTGGTAGGAATCGTGATCCTGATTCTCCTCCCACACCAGCGTCATTCTGAGTGAAGGTCACAGGAGAAACACTCTTTGTTTGGGAAGTGTTATGTACTTTATTAATCTTAAACTTCTATGTGTTACGTCACTGAAAATCCCTCCTTCTGTGGGTTGAAATAAATCCTAACAGTGTACGAGCATAAACAGCTAGCAAACAGCAGCAATAGTTTTACCTTTGCAGTATAAACTCTCTAGCCATTTCTTTAAGTTATGCAAACAGTTTGGTGTGCAAATAATACGGACTAAAGTGATTTGAGAAAGGAAAATTCATTGCTCTTAGGGAAAGCTGCTCTAATCACTTCATCCTTACATACAATACTAGGACTTGGCTATGGAAATATTGCAAAGTGCTCATTCCTGTGGCAGTCTAAATCAGCACTGTGGGAGCTGGCTGCTCTGCAATGGCACCTGAAGAGCCAATGTTTGCTTTTCCAGCTCTGTATGAGCTTTCCTCAGCTATGTAGAGAGGGACTCCAGATCTGTAAAATCACACCCCATCTCGCAAACAAAATTAAAAAAACCCAACCAGCATAAATGCCATTTCTTTTGAAATGGAAGTAAGAGAACATAGGTAAACCCCTTCTGTCTGCTTCTGTCACTGCACTAGTACTCTGGTATTAGTTTTATAAGGCTGTTCAGACATATAAACAACCTTTCCTTTACAGTCTCTCAAATTATTCCACAGTTCCAGTAGAAGAGATTTCTTGTGCAAAGAGATATTCCCAAATCCCCACCAAGGAGCGAGGTGGATTAAAAAAAATGAATAGAGATAACCTGTCTGCCTAAAGGCAGCTGGATATTTAGCCTATTATGTCTTCCCTTCCCCCCCCCCCCCCCAAAAAAAAAGACTTATCTTCCCAAAGCTCTCCTTTCCCCCTCCCCTTCTCCCTCTTTTGTCATATGAAAAGCTCAGTAAGACTCAGACAGCTGGCAACCTCCAGGTTACTTGGATGCTGCTGCTGTCTCAAAATTATTTCCTTGATATGAACAAGATTTTTTTCTTTCCCTTGGAGCAGAATCTGGCCCTTTTCAATCTCATCTGTTAACAGCTGACTCTTCCATCTTTGTGTCTGTAATAACATTAATTGGACCTGAGCACATGCAGCTAGGTAGGGTACAGCATAGGTGACACTCTGTGGGTGCAGAGAGATGTGGAAAGCCGGTGGAGATGTAATGTGCTCGTTATTTAAGGCTCACTAATAATCACACTAGTTATGTCTTGGTTGCCAGTTTTTAGATTTGTGTGTTGAAACATCTTGAACAAAATGTTAGTGAGAGCATTTTTACAGCATCCTGCTGACTGAATTCAAGGTGCTGCCTCGTTTGCCATCTGCCTGCAAGCTCACAGTAGTAATTATAGCGAGTCTCGCAAGTGCTGGAACAAGAGGTATGTCAAATGCATTTTCCTTCCTTTTGAAGGTAATTTTCATTTTCTCAACTCATTTGAAACTACATATGATTATGAGCTGCAGGTGTGAGAGCCACACAGAAGCAGACAGACATGCGTACACACCCATGGGGCGAGATATCAACTCCTAGAGTGTCCAGGAGAGCTTACGTACTTATCTCGGCACTTTTAAATTAAATGCAGCGCTGGAGAAAATTCCCTCGTTATTATGGCTCCTATCCTTGTGCATAGAATCTTAATGTCTCTTATTAGTGTGACAATACATATAAAAAAGCAAGTTTGATTTTGCTGAGCATCACTGGAATAACATGCGTTGGAAAAATAAAACACATATTATAAAAGCTGTTGAAAGTGAAAGTCACTTGCAGTTTGCTGAAACCTCCATGGGTTTCCAGTTTTAGTTGGGTTGCTGCTGTTACCTTTGTTGTTCTTGTTTCCAATCCTTGCAGCGTTAAAATTAATTGTAAGTAGCAGAGAGCAGTAACTCAAGTAGATGTTATTAACAGCATTCCTCAGGATGCCGTAGACGTTTCATTTAGTTGCCATTCAGAGCACCCAACTGCTTGCTGTGTAGTTGTTGGAGGAAAGAGGCGAAGCCTGGAGACTGATCCAGAAGACTCAAGTTAGATGTGTGTATTCCCTGCATGGTTGCTCTGGGATGCAATATGCAGAGCAACCTACAGGATCCTTGACCATCCTTGACCTGGTGTGTCATTCCACAGAGCAGAAGGGAGAGCAGTGGCTTAAGGACATAGCCATACTGAGGATAAGCAGGGTAAAAATGTAAAATCGTCACTACATGGTGAACAGTTTCATTTGCTTCTTGAATTCTGCAGAGGAGTTGGGGTCCTAGAACTGACTTTTGTTTGGAAAGCGATTAAAGACCCAGTGCATTTCAGCGTTGGTCACCTTGGAGGAGGAGGTCTGAATCTGGTATGGTACACAAGCTGGACCCAGGCACCTGTTTCAGTCCTTCATCTGTCCTCATGTCAGGGCTGTGTCTGGAATTCACTTTGAAGCTGTGGAAGAGCAAGCAGGCAGAAGGAAGACTTGTCATGTATCTTCTTTACTAATCCACTGAGAAAACTGGGGAAGGAGAGAAGAATGAGTGAAAGTTTGCTCTTCCTGGATTTCCTGGTGGGACCTGCTTGGTGTCACCCACTGGAGGGAACAGCATTCATTTGTCCAAGCTGCATGTTGTCCTAAAGGTGACTGTTGTGACTGAATTGCTTCCCAGACTGCTTACCCTCATGAGATTGGAAAGATAATGGCGGTGCAGGGAAAGAGCAACGGAAGCTGATGGGCTCAGGGAGGGACACTTTGCAGACCATCCAGGCCTTGGATAGATTTTAAGGAATATAAGGAAGGGTTCTTTAGGAGATTATGAGCACCAAGTCTCTCTCAACCTACTTAAACAGTGTATTCTTGCGTGCCTTGAAGTTATGCCTCTATATTTGTGCTTGCAGGTTCAAGAGTCAGGCATGCTCAGCAGCTTTGTAAGTCAAAGGCAAGAGCAGATTTAAGCTTTTCTGATTATATGCCTTAACCAAAACCACCGCTTTATGGTCATCTCTTTTGTTCAAGATTTAAACTAATTCTGGGGCAGTGGAATATCTTGTACTTTTCAGACAAGAATTTCTATAAGTATCTAGACTAATGATGTTTCCCACAGATATGTGTTTCGTGGTAATTCAGCCACTTGCGGGTGGCTAATACAGGCTGAGCTCACCCAGTGGTCTTTCTCTAGTGAGGGCAACTACTTGTTTACCCAGCTCCTTTGCACAAACTAGAGGACTCCACCATTGTCAGAGGTAGCTGAAATTCTCCAATGGGGTCAGAAGTTATTTATAAGTAACATATACATAAAGTGGTATCACATAAGTCATGTTTCCATAGGAACCGGCTAAAAATACATCTGTATGAACGCTCAGCGTCTATCACGATGAACTATTATGTAAGTAGGGGTTTTTTTCTTGGTAAGAACATTGCAGCTGCTTGTTAATAATTTGTGGCAGAATTTACAGACAAGTTTACAAGTCATCCTATGTGCAATCGGCTGTGTGCTTATTACATCGTCTGCCTTCACTCCTGCTGACTATAATGGGAAATTAACAGAGCATCCTTTCTCAAGGTTTAAAAACATCCAGAAGATTAAAAATAGCCTGAGGCTTAAAAACTTCTTCACCTGGTAAGAACAACACAGTTCTGTACTAACAGTCATATAAACGTGAGTGTTGTAACTATAAGTGCTGTATGTGAGAGGTGGAGAGGAAGGCTTGGAGGCCTGTACCTCACGGAAAGTGTGCCATATTGCACCATGGCAACTTGTGAATATTTGCTATTTGCAAGTAATGAGTCTCTGCAGAGCAGGAAATTGACACCAAATAAATTACTCAAATTATAAATGCATTCTTATCTTGGGTTAAGTGTTGTTTGGATAGCAGATTTTTGTGCAGCGGTGCTTTAGGCTGTATGAGATGAGACAGAGAAGGTATTTTTACCATGAGGTAACATATATTATAACATCATACATCTTCCATGGCTAAGTTGGATTTCCATGTTTGTAACTGCTTTTGTCTATGTTTCTGGAAGCAGGTTAGGAATTGTCTTTTGTGCTGACTAAAAGATGGATTCTTCAGAAAAAAAAAACACTGAAAACACCTGGTTTGACAAATTGCATAGAATTATCTAGCATTGGACTTCTCCAGATCATTCTCTAGCCTAATATTTGGTTCTTATTTCCCAGAATTTATTTTCTAAATATCCGGAAGCATTTTTTTCCTATTCTGATTTTCTCTTTAATTTCCTTGCAAATCGCATTAAGGTTAAACAATAAAGCTTAGCATCAGGAGTTCTTTTTTTTTTTTTTTTTAATTCAAGTTTTAACAATAACACAATCTAAGACTGTATATGTATTAATCTAAGCTTATAAAGTGTTTGTAATGCTATACTATTCCAAAGAAGGAGGAGGAAAGAGTACATATGTCTTCTGAGCCTCATAAAATAGCATGCCACTGGACAAATTCCGAGTTGTGATTATTAGCAAATGATGAATAACTTACAGACCTGGAGCTAATCATCAAAAATATTATTTAAATTAAAAATGCATTCAAGAATTCAACATGCTGTCTGTGGACAATTCATTGATAGAAAAGAAAAAAGGATTAAATTAATCAAATAAATAATTCATTGTAAATCATGCGTTTCTAATTATAACAGGGTGTTAAAAAATGGATCAGCTTCCCAAAGCATGACAGAGTTCTGCTACGCATACGTATCACCACAAATGCAGCTGTCGAAGTATAATCCCTGTTTTAATTGCTTTTGGTTCAGAACAATAGTTAGGTACAGAAGTGGTAATAAAGGCATTGACCTATCCCATTTATTAAAAGCTATTTTGTTTTCCTGCTTGCATGACAGAGCACCCTGAGCTAGTGCTTCTGCAACGTGAGAAAGACCAGCCTACCCTTCCCAAATCCTCAAAGCAAAAGTCTGCTTAAAATTGAGGTTTTCTGACCCTCTCTCTCACTGACTCCCAGTTCAGAGGTCTGTATCTTTCTTTTCCAAGGGGCTGGTTATTGAAAAAGTAAAGAGTGGACCTTTCCCAGATCTCTTTTTTTTTTTTTTGCTCAGGAAGCAGCACTTGGGATGGTCCTGTGGGATACCTGCTGGCTCTGGGTGGAGCAGCCTGCAAAGAGGATCCTTGTCAGGAACACTGGTCAACAGTCCACATGCTGATAAATGTTGGATGGAGGGTGAGGGAGGAGACAGCACAGAAACCATTGAGACCTGTATGAACATGATTGTTCTGAGGCCCCCAGAACAGTGGGTCACCAGGAACTTCAGCTTTCTGAAGTCAGTTGATATCTGAGAACTGGGGTTAGCAAACCATAAAACTCCCACTGTGCTTTTTGCTGAGAAATGTTGGACCAGATGATCCTTGAGATCCCTTCCAGTCTGGTACTCCATTCCATTCCATTCCATTCCATTCCATTCCATTCCATTCCACTCCATTCCATTCCACTCCATTCCATCTGACTGAGCCACCAGTGCTGTTGCAAAGCCTGTACCAGTGAATAGGAAGTATACAGCAACTACCACCTTTTTTTTTTTTTTTTAGCTTTCATTTACTTTCCTCTGTACCAGTAGAATGAGAAAGTCTTCTTCCTCGAGATTTTTTTTGTGTCTGCAAAACAAGGTTTGGATGGTTCTCACTCACAAGAACTGTGTTACCCAGACAAAGATAAATCCAGTTCTGTGCCCTGCAGTTGCAGAAGTCCTATTTCGGTTACCATTATAATAAGGGCTGGCAGCAGTTGCAGTGAGAAGATGAGAGCATTTATAATGAAATATTTGTATAGTTTTTATTGCCTTAATGACTTTTAGGGCAGCTCTGGAATGAAGGTAGGCTAGAAATTCTGAGTGCAAAAATATCTGGCATGTGAACTGGAGCATCCACTTGACTACAGATCGTGCTTTTCCTAGAGAGCTAAAAAGTCCCTGTCCTGTCAAAATTTCTGTGATGATTGGAAGGCTGACAAACTTAGTGATGGTGGGTTTAGTATTTTTGAATATCTTCACAGTCTCTTGGATTTGTCACATCATCAGGTCAGGCGACAGCTGGTTGTCCGACTCTGCAACCATGCTGTAAGTGTCCAGTCCTTTAACCATTAGAAATTGTTGAAGATGCTAGTTTTCTCTGCAGTCAAATAATAAAGCAGAGTGTACCTCATGTACAGATGATTAAAAAGTGCAAGACGAGTATAAAGAGGATTAAAGTTGCCTTTATGTCAGCTGTGCCATATCATATTAGTAAAAATAAAATCACCAGAATAATGCAATCTCATAAATGTTCTTACATCAGCATTTTGTCTTCTGAAAATATATTAGCAGCAGCTTTTGCATGGTCCTAGCAAAATTTGCACTGGCAGAAAATTGCTTACCATTAGTATACAACAATGCTTCAATTTTTTCCCCTTAAATTCCAGTTCCCTAAATACTACATAATAGTCTCCAATATGCTGGTAACTCTGGGATTTTTCTAATGTTAGCAATTTGGAATGTACTCACAATGTTTTTGCCTTAGTGATATGAAAGCAATCAGCACTGCAGAACAGGAAATAAAAGAAGGAAAAGACCAATACCATGTATTAGTCAGCCTCAAAACATGACAAAACTCAGATTACCACATACTGAATACAAATGTGGTGGAAATGTTCAGAAACTGCAATCAAATAGCTTTGAATGTCAAATGAAATTACTTTGGGAGTCTGCTAAGCCCTCTTCTTAAAGCACACTGGAACATAAATCCCCTACTTTCATTTGATTAGTCCAAAAGGCTAGAGGATGTATTATTAAATCTAGAAAACATGACCAGAGTCTTAGTCATTAGCATCACTGAACACACAAATTCCTTTAGGTCTTTATTTTTTCTTCCTGTATATCTTGTAAATGGAACATAACTAGTGAACTTTTAAAGCAAAAGCATACCTGAAGCTCACTGACAGTTATAAATAATTTTTTTTTTTAAGAAAATGCTTTGGGATGTTTGTATCTGCTCACTTAGAGTGTCACAGTGAAATATATGAAAAATTATGTATTAGTGAATATTAGAAACTGTGGATAAAGATATTTTGTTCCTCACAGGTGATAAGAATCTTCAGTTGCAAACTCCCGTGCAATACAGGGGAGCTATAATCAGTTTTGGCAAGAAAGCTTTGATGTAATTAAGTCGTAGAAGTGTGCACTCAGTCTGCCCTTAATAAATGGTTGCAACACTGTGCACATTTTGCTTTTTTAAACATGGGAAAATGATAACAGAGGCAGAAGACAGCTGTGCAAAAACTTTGACATGAATAGCAATAATAAGATCTCCAATCCCAGAAAACACCTCAGTTTAAGAAAGGATTTATGCCTGTGCCTTTGTTCTATTAAATTTAATAAGACTGAAGAATGAGTTTAGAATTAAGCATGTAGTTAAATGCCCTCCTTGCAGACCCTTGAGCCTGCAGAAAATCTCTGCTTCCCTATCATGGACCCTTTTTGAAAGAGGTTGAACAGACCATTAAATTGACTGCATTGATCCATGTGGCACAGCATCTTACATTGAACAGATATACAGGATGTGCCAAGTGTTTGGTCCTCCTTGCTGGTAAACTCTTCCAGTCTCTCGTGGTTTGAGGTCCTCAGCCTGGTACGCTGTCTTCATGTTTTAAGAGCCTTTGATGGATTCATTCATTTTTCCCTCCATTAATTTTTTTTTTTCTGATTAGTTTTTCCAGTGTATTTTTAGCATTCCACAGGCTTGGCAACAACTTTTACAGCTGAGCTATGCACACTTCGTTTTGAACGTACATTCCCAAAACTTGTTTGATGCCCGCTAGTTCTTGTACTAGAAAGGAAAATGAGCAATTGTTTCCTGTTCTCTTTATACCTTTTGTGATTTTGCCAACCCCTCTTATGCCCCATCTCTATTATCCCTTTTTTTTTTTCTTTTCAGATTAAGGAGTCACAATGTATGAGTTGTTCCTCGCTTGGAAGCTGTACCAAACTTTAATCACCTTTATCATGTTTCTTTGTGTCTCTTCTTGCTCAACTTATATTCTTTCTGAGATGAGCAGATGTGTTGGTTTAAAAGTAAACTGGGGAGAGAACTCAACCCAAGAGATTACAACTCAGAGTTACAATTTACTAAAAAGATTACAATAAATGCAATGATACAGAGAAAACTGGTTTTAATCCACAAAGGCAGATGTATAATGCAGCAGCCTGGGAAAAGAATAGAACGATGTTTGTTAGCCATTGTTGCTTTCACACCTGACACAGAACGTGGTAGTGACCCCTTTGCTGCAGTTTGCTACTGTACAAACACCAGGTCAGAGTTTGAACAGAGTCAAATGCATCTTGGTTTTGAGGACTTCAGCAGAGCCACAGCCCTTTGCCTTGACAGAGGAGCTGCTGCTATTCAGAGCCCCTTTAACTTTTTGGCTAAAACAATTAAGTTGAATGACATGTGACATAAAAGATAATTGAATATAGAATGGGAAAACTGATCTGGGTGATGGACAAAAGGGGAAGATATTCTGGTATATCACAAATTCCCTCATGATTCTCACCAAGGAAGATGTGTTGCCCCTTTTTGTTACGTATTTTCACTGACTGCTACTTTTAGAGTTATGTGGGGTACAA